CAACAGAAAACCCACACAAACAACACGTCGCGTGAAATGTCTGACAATTGTATGACATTTATAGAGCAGTGTTTGCTTTGAGACAAACACAAACTTAATAACTTTTAACATTTATGTCCACATTTCCACTCTCTATGTACTTCTGTTTCATCATTATTCACGACCACGAAAAGGCTGTCCTATTCAGGAACGGCAGGTTACAGTCAGGTACATAAATATAATACGATACATATTATGAACATAATATGATACATAAATATAACGCTGAAAAATTTAATATCAATTATACGTTAATTGTATTACTATAAATGTTTTTAAAAGGTTATTATTGATTTAATTATTTAAAACGGTTGATATGCTGTAGAATATAAATAATTTTTAAAATATTAATACAAAGTTAACAAACTATTGATAAGAAGCTTGGAAATCCATCCAATATAAAAATATATAACATTTTAATTATAAGAAAAGTTATTTTGATCATAATTTACAGCTTTTACAGTTATTAAATTAGCTCTACGCTATGAACAGACATTTTTGAGATTTTAAAGTAATTAAGCTATTAAATAGTTATTATTCATATATTTAATTGTAAATTAATGAATTTAGTTGTGGTGAAATGTTCCCTATTTAATACAGTATACTTAATCAACTTTTATTATTACGATAATGTTAAGCAATATAATTTTAAAAATAGGTTATCCGAATTATCATTTCATTATATTCAACCAAATTACATTATATTAATATAAACAACATTGATTTTAAACATACTTATAATTTATTCATAAAAGCATACGCTATTAGTCGCATGACAATTAAAATGAATAAAACATGAGCATGTTAAAAATAAACTTATTTACATTTTTTCATAGCCAATGGTATGGGTCCGGGACTGGTGTTTGTGATCCCATACGTGGACCAGTACTGTATCATTGACTGTCGCACCGTATGCTACGACATCCCACCCCAGAAAGTGCTCACAAAGGACTCCCTGACCATCGATGTGGACGCCGTCGTCCTCTATAGGGTTCACAACGCAATCGTCGCCATAACTAACGTCCGGAGCTATAAGAAAGCGACGGAACTATTGGCCGCCACTAGTCTTAGAAACTTTTTGGGCACTAAAACATTGGCACAAATACTGGCTGAGAGTTCGGACATTAATGAAACGCTCAAGGTTAGTTTGGTTTCAATTGTAAAAAATAAACTTACTTGTTACAATCATGATGACAAATCTGTGGTGATTTACAACTAATAAATATTAAATAGTTAAATACAGCAATTGACATTTATCTAATATAAAAATATCACAAATATAATTAGATTGAATAAAAAAATATATAATAATTATAAAATAAAGTTGTTTCCATTTAATGTATACCAGTAAATAAACAATAACTGTACTAACCTAATTATGAAATATAAAATATGTCAAACCAATACTTTTTATAATGGCGGAACCAGGCAGTTTAATTTTTAAAAAATTATCTTTTGAATAATCTACAAATTGTATTATGATCATAATACTCAAATTATTATCACCTACTGTAAAATAATTTTAAAATACAAATTATATTAACTAAAATCTTTTATTTTGTTAAATATTTGATTTAATTTTTCGTCCCGACGGAGAGAGAGAGAGAGAGAGAGAGAGAGAGAGCTATTAACATGTGGTTACAAATATAATTATTATATTAAATAAAGTGAACATTAGTTATATCTATAACTTTGAATTTTATCAAAAAATATTTATTTAATTAACTATTAATAGAAAAGCATTCATATCATTATTATATTAAATATACAAAACAAAAGCATAATATTTTTATAAACATATAAATTAGTATATTAATATTTATAATATAGATTATACAGTGATATATAAAAATATTTATTATAATTACAAGCGACCACTCGTATGTCCGATTTTAATATAATTAATCATTTATTTAATTACAGAAAAGATTTACAATTATTGTAAGTCTATCAAGTTTATAATAAAATATCACCCCTTATTAATTTTACTGATTATGTGACGAATTGATTACATTTATTTCACACAATTTTATAACAAGTAAAAATAATTTTCATTAGTTAATTATATAATATCCTAGTTCGGTGCACGGGTTTTCTAATTTGCTCACATACATTTAACTTAATTATAATCATACTCATAAACATATGCACGTACAGTACGAATAATTCACAATTAAAAAAATCATAATTACCCATTACATCAACTTAAAAAACATGCTTCAATAGTACCATGCTCACTTTTTGTAGACACATCTGGACGCGGCCACTGAATTCTGGGGCGTATGTGTCGAACGCATAGACATAAAGAACGTGAGGATTCCGGCGGACCTGCAGTCGGCCCTATCAGCCGAGGCTCAGGCGAGTCGTGAAGCCTTAGCCAAGTATATCGCCGCCGATGGCGAGAAGGACGCCTCCCATGCCTTGGCTGAGGCGGCCGTCAAACTGGACGACATGGCTCTACAGCTCCGGTTCCTTCAGACCCTGAATAGTATTTCCATGAAAAATAACAACACGTTTGTTGTGCCCATACCTCTCGAGTTGTTTCAGTTTGCCGCCCATTAATGGGACGGGTGTTTGGGGGTAAAGCTGTAATATAGTGTATGGTATTGGATATCGATGTGAGAGTTATTTGTGTTTAGTTTGTCATAAAAAGATTTTTATTTTTAAAAAGAATTGTAAATATTGTTCAAAAATAATTTTAAATAAATTTGACATCATTATGTTTTTGTGTAATTGTATTATATTACTAATATTTTGTTATTTTATACAGATTAGCAAGCTAAATGTTAAGGGTAAGTTCATCATTTTGTAAGTAAAAGTAAATTTTAAAATAAATATTTATATTTCGAGACATTTGCAAAGGCTTATTATACAGAGCGATTAGACCAAGATTTACCACTGGCGTGGCTTAAATGCAGTGCCTTTGCAGTAAACATACACTGAAATAGTGACCCCCGTTAT